TATGCACTAAAATAAAAAACGAATTTCCTACAGAGGTAATTGCGTGTCTAGTGCGAACACAAACCTACATTAGAATTAGAAAACAAAATCAAGAAATAGCAACAAAAAATAAAATTAAAAGAACAAAAAAAAAATTAAAGCATATATGTAATAAAATTATTTGAGTATTATTGGTTAACCATACATATTGGTTATTTTGTGTATGTTGTTTATATTAACATCATTTATTTACTGTTATTAATTGTCATTGATGTTTATTAATTTTATTAATTAATATATTTGATTTTCAAGTATATATTTTCAAGTATATATTTGATTTTCAAGTATAAGTAAGTACTTATCGTGTTTTAATTTCCAATTAACCTGATATATACATTTAAAATACGCTCGTCTACAAATGGGGAACAATTGATTTGCCTAAATTTTAAGCCACGCCTTCGATGACGTCATTATGCGCATTGGTTCACCTTGTTTCTTTCCACCATGGATCTTACAACCGGTTACACTGTTCCAGGTTGTATCATCGGTCGTTGTGCCAACATCTGCGCACGTACTACCGGCTGACATGATACTGGAGGCGAGGCCGTCCATCGAGCGTCCGCCCACACCAGGAACGGCGGCGGCATCGGTTTGTCGTTGATCAACAACGGCTTCTCGCTAACAGCCTTCGAGAGAGAGATTGCGAGTGTTTTAACACATAAAAAATTATTTTATTAAAATTAAATTTTTTAATTTTGTACTGTTATTTCTTTAATCTTTGTGATAATACTTGGATTGAGTAAGGTAACAATTTTGTTATGTAAATAATACACTACGCAAAAAAATTAGGGGAGCACTTTAAAAACTGCAAATTTTGTCGATTTTCAGAAACCAATATCTCGGCTTCCAGGAATCGCAGGACATTGTTCCTTAGCGCGTTTTGAAGGGTAAGGCCTCTACTTTAAAATGGCCTAAGTGAGATTTTTCGTCCCAATAAACTGTTTTTTTCACAAAAACCAAAAGCAGAGAGTGTTTGAGTCTTAAAAATGTTATGATATTGCAGCCTTTCATGGGCAAAGCAGCAACGAGG